CGCGTACCTCAGGGCACATACTATTGAATCCGGCTGGAAGGCAATGCGATCTGCAGCATATATCCACCCAGTTGTAACTCCGGGAGACATCACATGATCAATGAATGCCGCAATCACGGCTGCTAGAGCTGAACAACGGGAACCAGACCCACTTGATGATTCCACCAAGAAGCAAGGCATCCGGCTCGATCTCGTGGCGTATATCGATCCCAAACTGTGGAAGTTTAGCGGGAAGCTGTACCAATATGGTTGCTATATTAGGGTTGCCGAAGTATGGTTGCACTAACAACAGTTTGCTCTAGACAGTACGTGGGCGCTGTATTATGTGAAGACCAAGGTGCGTCAATGGTTCGAAGACCGGAAATGGTTAGAGCAGGATTGGCGAAAGATTGCCTCAGATGTGGACTTCCTTGCTGTGGAGACTGGAACAAGCGGTTTGTCTTCGGACGCTGTGCGCGACCGACATTGGGTCATTGCAAATGAGGTCATTTCGAAGTTCGCGTTAATACGCCTGAGTGCTGAATTTGTGACGCCTTCTAGAGGGTGCTTCATCACATTTGAAAACGCGGTGGGTGGCCTGTGTAAATGCTGGATGAATAATAGCCGAATTGACTTCTGCTTTGAGGTCATTGGTTCCACGGCAGACAAATGTTACGTGCTGTCATCGCACACGACGTCTACTGGGTGGCCAAAGACACCAAAGAAACTTATAACCAATACCAAGTTTATCACCCAGCCGGTCAACTTGAAAAGGAGCCATTGGGGAGTCGTAATCACGACATTACACTATATGGAAAGTGCCGATACCGTACAGGTACATCCCTATCTGTATGAGCCCCTCATCGACGAAAAGTACCACGACGAAATGGAGGAAGTTTGGAAGGGCATTAACGACCAGGACGATAAGGTCGTTATGGAAGGGCTTCGCGATTTCGTGACGAGATGGTGGTAAGCTTCCACACCCACTACTAAACTACGCATAGATTCGATTGAGTGGACTTGCTCATTCTAGACATTTTATTGTGCACCATAACCTTCGCGTTGGCGCTTCTTCTGGGAGGAATACAAATCTTGGTGAACTAGACTTTATTTCACTTCCGCAAGCAGCGATACTATGTCGCGAAGCTGTTTCAGACTCTCGACAGGTTGGCTTTGTCATGAATATATTGTTACAACCTCACATCTCACCCAGTATCTCTCAATAGCTCGAATTGATTTTAATCTCAATCAGAGGATACGAATATTTGAAACGCGCGCTTAGTTACCGACGATTTAGATGCCGTGCTAGGAGCATCAAGAGGTCACAAAAAAAAACTGCGAAGGAGATGTTTTTGCAGTGTGCAAAGTCGGTACCGTCTACTCGGCCATATAATAGAGGTTTTTCATCTCACGGCATCTTACTT